TAGAAGAGAAAAAGTGGCCTAACCATCTAAGTTTAGCTGGCATTGGTGGCACGTGCTCTGCCTGCTAGATATAGAAAAAGGAAAAGTATTATGCCATGTCTACTTCTTAAGACCTAATGGGGGTCTGTTCTATAATCTGACAAGGCGGAACTGAGCACAGACCACTACCTGTACCCGATTCAAATGGCTCCCTAGAAATGTTTTGCTGAGGCAAGAACCCCTGCTAGTCCAGAGCAACCAAAGTGATGGATATTTTAGCTATTCAAACTAGAGAATTAGATTTTCTCAGGAGCAGAGAATCAGACATCCCCCAGGAAGCAGACACTATAGAAATCATCACAGCGGCAGAAGGGAGAGACCCCAACCTGCAGTGATCTAAGAACAGGATAAAGGCAGAGCTGTTTTCTGTCAAAGGTGATAGGAAGCATTGCTACTATCAAAATTAATTAATGGACATTTTGGTTGGCCAAATCTGAATTCTTTTATGAAAAATGAGTGTTCCAGCTGAGACAATTAGGAGTGGTGACTGGCTCATTGTGTGCAAGAGTCTCAAATATTCTGGAAATGAATTTATGTTCCAAGGAATGTCAGTAACATCCTTTCTTTTTCATCAGCCTGAGTACCTTTCAAAAAGGACATAACAGTTGTGCAAACTCAAAAGCAGGAAGCATAGTCAAAGAGTGAAAAATACCCAAAAGGTGTAAATTCATTCTCCTCTAGGTTCTTTGACCTGATGACCAAGGCCTCCGTTTTGTCTGCTCTTCTATATCTCCGTGCTGAGCTCAGCTCTGCTCCTTCACAGCCCACCCAAATGATCCAGGGGCAAGTTCAGATTTACCTTATCATCAGATTCTTCAGCCTAACTACACCAAAGCTCACTTTCCAAATGTCCCAGCGTAACCTATGCATGATGCAAAATTTATTTCTTAATCTAATGGTCAGATCACACAATTTTTGACATTGAATTATCAGCATTCACATTGAAACCCTGGCAAAGAACCAAAGCACCATTCTAATCTAGCAGCCTAACAGTACAGGGCTCTGTGCCATTGAAAAGCAAAACCAACTTTTCTTCTTTTTCTATCAGCACAAAGCATAGCAGCTTCCACCAAGTGAGTACAGTCTGTCCTTCGTATCTGCAGATTCCGTTGAACCAATCCACAGTTGGATGAATCTGCGGATACAGAACCTGTGGATGAGGAGGGCCAACTAAAGGACTAAAGCATCCGCGGGTTTTGGTATCAGTGGGCTCCTGGAAGCAATCCCCTGCGGATACCAGTGGCCGGCTGTAATGTGAATTTAAAGTCAGCCACCTAAAAATATTTCTAAATCTGATTTCATTTCACTGTGAGAATTTACAAAAGACCACCTTCCCCAAAAGCCACCTGGTGTTTGACCTACAAGGCAAAGGTAAAGTAGCTTACAGTTTACCTCACAAGAAAACACAATGAAAAAAGAAATCATAGACAAAACTCTTTAATGTAGCATTTTATGCACATTGCCACTGGAGAAACAAGCTGAAAGAATAAACATCATTCCCATATCAGCCTACCCTCCTTCTTTTAACACACCCAATGAAAGGAGGGATGACTATTTGTTTTTGTGATATGAGCAAAAAGGTCAGTTTGTAACTCGGCCGCGTTTCCTTAGACCGCGCGTGCACAAACAAGCAAGTCTCTCCAGGCAGAATCTAGCACGGATTTGGTTCTGTTGTGTAGACCCGGTGTCGCAGAAAGTGGTAACTCGGCCAATCACCTGACAGCTTCCAGTTGCTTTGGTCTTGGCTTTTGTTTGATCTGAAGCTTGGAGTCATGTTGCTTCCAGGCCCAGGCTCAGTGTTTTTGTTTTAGTTTTAGTTTTAAGCTTTCTGAGAATGAACGAATCATTGAGCAGGATATTACCTAAGTAACAAAAATTCAGAACCAGCTTCCAGTTCCATGTTGCCTAAATTACTATCTTTATTAACTACTTTACCAGAGTAGTTTAATCAGAGAAACATATTTAAACAGACAAGTGATACTATTTTTCACATATCAAAATGGCAAATTTTAAAAACAGTAATAATCAGAGTTGACAATGATAAGGTGAAGGTAAAATATTAATTGGTATAACTTTTCAGATTGAAATCTGGCAAAAATATTATACCCATTTGATCCAGTAATTTCATTACTGAAAATGATACTGCATCAGCACAAGGTTGATGTAAGGGAAGCCATATTGTAGAAGAGACACCATATTCTAACTTTGAAGGACTTCTGATTAACCCAGCTGGATAGACACCCTCCAGGAGATATATATGTTCTGTAGATTTTATGGTCCCTCCCAGCTGCTATAAGTTGATAACTTTGTTCTTTTGAGTTCCTTAGGAATGTGACGACCCCTGGGCATAGAGTCTGTACTGAGAAGCATCATCAATGGCCACTGAAAGATCTGGGTAGAGGGCCTTGCTCCTGTCTCTGACATCCAGTAAAACAAAAGATTTTCAGGAACTGAAGACAAGATGTCTGCTCCACCCAGAGAACAGCCCCCTGTATAACCGGACTGTAGTCTTTATTCTTTAAGATGGTTCTTTTGGACATTAGACAGCCATCTTCCCCCTTGCTAGCAAGCTGTAATAAAACCCTCTCTCCTACCACCTTGCTCCTCGACTATTGGTAAGTCTTACAGGGGGCAGATGACCCCCTTGGGCGGTAAGAGGAATTTATTCTAATGAAATAATCAATGACGCAGACAATGACATCCAAATAAAGCAGATCCTGGGGGCTGGCTCCGTGGCATAGTGGTTAAGTGCGCGTGCTCCACTGCTGGCGGCCAGGGTTCAGATCCCGGGCGCACACCGATGCACTGCTTGTCAGGCCACGCTGTGGTGGCGTCCCATATAAAGTAGAGGAAGATGGGCACAGATGTTAGCCCAGGGCCAGTCTTCCTCAGCAAAAAGAGGAAGATTGGCATGGATGTTAGCTCAGAGCTGATCTTCCTCACAAAAATAAATAAAGAAATAAATAAAAATAAAATAAAGCAGATCCTCATGGGGCGATGTATAATAGTGAAACACCACAAACTACCTCAATAACAGGGATTAGATAAATAAATTCTGTACTTCTGTATATTAAGCTACTTTTCAGCCATTAAGATCAAGAAAATAAGGATAGGAATACTCTTATTATAAAGCATTGATGTTATTTAGTATACAGCATTACATTGTAGGTGACCAGAATTTGCCACCCTAAACTATGCCTCTTTGGCATAAGGATTATTTTGAGTTTATTGTTTTGAGAAACAGCAGACACAGAGAAGCTCTGAAAACAGAGAACAAGTTACCCTTTTGTAAGGGAAATTTACATTTATAAAAGAAAGCTCCATTTGTAAGGTGTCTCCCTCTCTGTACCAGGAAGGAAAGGATTACTATAAATGACAAGAGACTCTTTAAATCTGCATAACAAACCTTACCATTGTTTTCTGTACTTTTCCTGGTCACTTTCCTATAACTTGCCTCCCCCACACCCTTATTCCTTTGTTTTAGGTGAAGATGGTATTTAAGCCCAAATTCTAACTACCTCTTTTGAGTTACTCATCCCTCAGTTCCTCTCATGTATGTATGAGATATACACGTCAATAAATTTCTGTTTGTTTTTCTCTTGTTAATCTGTCTTTTGTTATAGAGGCCCCAGCTGAGAACCTGGAAGAGTAAAAGGAAAATATATTTTTCCTCCTCTACAACGTAAAATTAAAATAAAGTTTGGCGGCCCTCAAGTTCATTAACAAGACATTCATTTTCTTATAAAGCTCCAACAGAATGTGACTTCCTGAGCAGTCATAGATTTTAGGCCAGCTTCAAAAAGAGACCAAGAACAATGGAGTATTCTTAGTACAATATGTTGAAACTGGCCACATGTTCCTCTCAGGTTCAAGTTGTGAAACCAGCAAAGAGTTAGCCATTGATAATTAAGTAGCTAGGAACTAAAGTTATTTTTTCCTTTTTGCAATTACCAATTGTAGCTTTTAGTTGTTCCCCCACGCATTGTTAACTGGGCTCTTTAGGCAATATGCTATCTGACTCCCACTAGGTTCCTATAGATGACATCTCCTTGAAGCCTGGGTCACTGTGGTAACGGATGTTTGAGCTATTTTTCAGGAATTAGAACCCCTTCTCCACTTCAGGCTGGTTGGGACCACCCACTCATCAACTGGGCCCACGCAGATGTCCAATAAGCAACCTTTTGATGTCAAAAGGCTAAAAATTCCACCCTCGGGTCATGCCAACACCGCCATTTTGTGAACATGCATCCTATGAGGAGGCATGAAGTCTGACTACACTTGTGCAATTACCTCACCTCTCCTCACCTCCAATCATCTATCTCCACATTTCAGACCAGCTTGCCCCTACCCCATAAATATCCCTGAGTCCCTATTTTCAGGGAAGCAGATTTGAGATTCATTCTCCCATTTCCATACTTGGCTGCCTTGTGATTAAACCCTCTCTCTCTGCAATCTGGTTGTCTCGGTGTTTGGCTTTCTGGGCAGCGGGCAAAAACGAACCTGGTTCGGTAACAGTTGCTTTTAATAACTGATTGTCTGCTATTGGGGCTCCACCCACCAATTGTGACCAGGCCTCTGATTTGATCCATACCAGGGTTCACAACATTGAAAGAATGTGGTAGAGTGTACTGTTGTTAAACTGGGCTACAATCCTAGTAGATGGCTTCCATTAGAAGTTGGCAACATATCTGGCTCACAAAAACATTCAAGTTATTTTTTTCTAATCAAGCCCCCAGATTATATCATATTCAATTGTTTATTATAAAGAATTTCTTCCAAAATTGCAGATATTATTCATTAAACTAGTTTCATACCCTAAAACACCTTTAAAATATCCTAAAAATTGTATTTAAACCCAAGTTGCTTTAATATAGAAAAACTCTCAGTATTGTAACTAACCAAATTCTACTTTGTGAAACACACACCCAAAGTATATGAACAAAGACATATGGAAAACTCACGTAAAAGAATCCAAGTGGTCCAGATATATATGGCATTTTCATTCCCAAGAGATATTTGACTTGTGAAGTCACGACGTGGGTGGCAGCCCCAGTTGTCATTGCACTGATGACAGGCTCTGTGAGCAGGAATGTGGCGCTGCCTATTTGTAGCACAAACATGGCCACCTAAGAGGACAAAGGAAGATGAACTTTCCCAAGGTTCCTAGAGGGATTAATATCTGACACATTTTCATTTTCATTTTGCATGGACATAGAGAACTAATGTGAAATGGGTTTCTTAAATTTTACGTATTCAATATCTTGAGTTTTCTTGAGAACATTACTAGGTTCTGAGACATTCCAAATGTTATTGGGTACAGAGTAAGTGCTTCAATTAAAGTTAACACATTTTTTTCCTGAATATTGACTTTTCTTTTTTCTCTTTTCCTAATCACATATGTTACAAAAAAGAGAAATATGTTCAAATCAGTTAATATATCGGGTTCTGTAGAGAAAATTCAAACTTCATGATCATATCTGTAATTTTTTAAAAAATCAAAAGAACATGATTCACTACTTTACATGCAGTAGGCTTAAAACCTCAAAAGCACTGAGGAAAAAAATTTCTTGAGTTTCTCCCAGGTTCTCAGAAGTGGAAACATACTGTTTTGACTAGATACTCTATCAAGTAGCTTTAAAGGGCCAATGTTAATAAGAAGATATCAGGACTTATTTGTATATGGAGAAGAGTAAAAGACAGAGATAGGTTAAAGAGATATATCTTAAGAACCCCAGGGCCGGCCCCATGGCTTAGCAGTTAAGTGCGCGCGCTCCGCTGCTAGCGGCCCGGGTTTGGATCCCGGGCGCGCACCGACGCACCGCTTCTCTGGCCATGCTGAGGCCGCATCCCACATACAGCAACTAGAAGGATGTGCAGCTATGACATACAACTATCTACTGGGGCTTTGGGGGGAAAAATAAATAAATAAATAAAATTATTAAAAAAAAAAAAAAGAAAGAAACCCAGGAATCACTAGAAAAATCATTTTCCTTAAACATTTCCTTCCTATTCCTAGCATCATGCTCCATTGCCAAATCTTTTCATGACCAGACAAAATCAACTCTGAGTAGAAGCCGTGCATTGAGCTTTGCTGGGCAAAAGATGACAGGAAGAACCAACACTCTCCTCTCTCACTATTAACACTGCAATGTTTAGTGTTCTTCCCTTGCCAGAGAGAGAGCTTTTAGGAGATGGCCCACTCTTTGACAGAATTATAACTGTGTAAACTCAGTCATAGAAACCACAAAAAATAAAACTTACTGTTTTTAAAGTAACATGAAATTACATTCATGAGTATCCATACTGGAAAAGGGACATAAAGCAGGCCATGTTGATATATACTCTCAATATGTTCATTACAATATTTTGGTCAGGTCTTAAAATTCTTGTTGGAAAATAAGAATAATTCTTAAAGAAATCAGAGGAAAGAATGGCAATGAGATCTCCTTCTATCAAGAGGTCACAGTGATAAAAATGGGAAGTATAAAGTGCCATCTGGTACTACCAGAGCATAAATTGCAAAATATATAATCTCTATTATATTGCAATACTCTTGGCCAAAAGCAATAATGCTCTGAGCTTGTGGAGTTTCCTGGGCTCAAATCTGAAAACCAAAGTTCTGATCCTGGCTCCACCACATCCTAGCTTTGTGACTATAGAAAACCTATTGAAATTTTCCAAGCCTCATCATCATCTATAAATCATTAGAGCGATGTCTGTGCTATCTATCTTGTAGAACTACTGTAAAGTAAATGTGAAATAATATATGAAAGAGCTATGAAACCTGTAAAATGTGCAACATGTGATGCAACAGGAATATCATGAGGAATTATACATGTTTACCTAGTATGGAAAACCAGTCACCAGTTTTGAAAATATAGAAAGGGCCACACCACATTTTCCAACTCTGGAAAACTTGGAAGAATTTATCAGCGCAGAAAGAAATATATCTGAATGATTTGTGAATTAGCAGCCCCCTTTTATCTAATATGCAATACAGAAAAATATACAGATTGCCAACGTAGAAATCGGGCAATCTGTTTCTGTTAACATGGGAAGCCAAAGTAGCAGCCTTTACTGCTAACATTGTTTCAGAAGCTGTGTGTCAGCTTTTCAAAATAGAATGTCCTGAGGGAAACACCCAATCAATCAATAGTGTAGGTACAAGCGAAACACACTGCTCTTCTTGGCAATTCTTATTCCCACTATCTTGGTTTTCATCCTGAAAACACAAACAATTAAGAAAAACATTGAACCAATTTTTCCCAAGCATCTCTCTACTAGTAAGTTAGTTCCAATTTATGACGTTAACTCTTATAGGCCATGAGGATGAAATTAGCATATTATTGGGGTAAGAGGAACACTAGAGAGTTGGATTTTCATTTCCACTAAATGCAGCATACAAGCAATCCAAGTCTTTGAAATTGTGAAACTTTGCATATACAGAATTTTATGCATACGTGGAATGCTGGAAAGTTCTTACCTGTATGCCAAGCAATCTTCATTTATTTTGAGAAGCAAATTCTTGTGGGAGGCCTTGTTCACACCATATCCATTTTACCTTCTGTTTTTCATTTGTTTCCTAAATTCCAGCACCCACTTAGAGAGGTTAATGATTTGTCATGCCTCAGAAACAAAAGTCACCTAACCTGGAGTGATTCACCAACCACTCCAGCTAAATCACTGTCGTATAATAGCAGCTACCTCGTCATTTTCACAACTTGAATGTTACAAATGGAAGGTTCAGAAAAAGTACAAGATATAAAAAGAGTTCAGCCATTTCAAATGTGGAAAATATGTGTACCTCCCTTACAAGAGAAACCAGAAAAGATGGAACATCTTCCTTTAAAACTTATCCAAAGATATTTTTGTAATATTCTACTTGTATACATTTTTATGCTTTTAAAAAATCTTCCCAACAAGGGATAAGTCCCTAAAATGGAGAATTCTTGACTCTGAAAGGTCAACAAGCCTCTTAAGACATCATTTCTGATACAAATCACTGGGTATGTGAAGGATGACTGCAAACATGTGAGATTTAACTGAAGCAAAATTCCTCTTTTCTGGGTGACAACATTCTCCATAACCCAAGACAATGGCAGACACTTTAAGAAAAAGAAAGAGGAAGAAGAGGAGGAGAGAGGGAGGAGGAAGAGAGAAAGAGAGAAGGAGAAATTTAAGAACTCCCCTTTTCCTACCACTCAAACCTCAATAGTTTATTCACGTGGAAATTAGGGACCTAGTGTACAGAGGCTGATGTACAGTCTGAGGCAGCAAGTACCTGTGCAACACAGGTTCTGGAAGAGGCGCCCACAGATGGAACTGTGGTTTCCAAGCTTACCCTGGAACCTAAAGTATGTGGAATGAAAGTCCTTCTAGAATATTTTGCTTGGAGGCCCAGTATTTAAATTATATACCAATGTTAAGGATTTTGGAAGCTAATGACTTAATAAACAGCCACATCAGCTCCTTTTACTAATAATGTGGATGATAATAATTCTAATCTGCCTAGCCAACTCCCAAAATTTGGCCATGTAACATTTTATGAGAAATTTCATACAAGGTATTTCAGCTTTTTGTAGTAAAATGCTGATGTTCTGGGCTAACGCTGAAAACCTCTGACACACATTATTAAGGTTCACAGCATGATACAATTTGGTAATGCTTCTGTAAATACCATGTGTTCTATATAAATTGAATGTATCTCAGATTTCAGGCCATTTTTTGCAAGTGGCCTTCAAATAGTGAACAAAGAAAAGAGGGCACAGCAAACAACTCTACTCCTTGAGTGGATGGACTGCAGCGTGCATTTCGGGTTTCATCAGTTTGTCTGTAATCTGGCTCTCACCTTGTACCAAATCACTTATTTGTCTGTTCAATGAATAATTACTGAATACCTACTAGGGGCCAGGCACAGCACTGCTGCAGAATAAAGAGATAAAGATACAGTTCATACTTTAAAAGACCATATAAAGAGAGGGGAAATGATGTTGTTGGCGGGGGCCGGGGGGTGGGGGGCATGTTAACCAGGAGCATAAAGAACTGTAGCGTAGGTGTTACTAGGAAGGTCAAGTCTGAGAAGCTGTTTGGGTGGGAGCTAAAACACTAAGAGCCCTGTGTTCTTTCCTGAGCAGGTATGCAGGTTTAGGCAAAAGAGCTAAACTGCTCATGACTATAGGAGAACAACTGAGTGCTGCACAGGGATACGGCAGAAAAAGCCTCTGTGTGACCAGAGGACTTGAGAGAAAAAAATGTCAAATGGATATCTATGCAGTTGTGTGCTGTGGAATTCAGAACACAAAACCCCGCTCCATACTATTCAGTGGTAAAAAGGAATGAGCTATCAAGTCATGCAAAGACATGGATGAATCTTAAATGAATACTGTAAGTGAACGAAGACAATCTGAAAAAGCTACATACTGCATGATTCCATTTATATGACATTCTAGAAAAGGCAAAACTACAGAGACAGTAAGCAGATCAGTAGTTGCCAGAAGCTTTGGAGTGGGAGAATGTCTAATAGGTGAAATATAGGGAACTTTGTATGATGGTGACACTATTCTGTATGATACTATAATGGTGGATATAGGACACTAAGCATCTGTCAACACCCATAGATTTCACAGCACAAGAGTGAACCTTAATGTATGCAAATTTAAAAAAAAAAATCATTTGGAGGTCAGAAGATCCCAGAATGGAATGCAGAGGTGACAAGAAATCTAACTGACAATCACTGCTGTGCTTACTATCTCTACAAGTTTTGCCTTTTCCAGAGTGTCATTTAAATGGAATCATATAGGGGCCGGCCCCGTGGCTTGGTGGTTGAGTGAGCGCGCTCCACTGCTGGCGACCCGGGTTCGGATCCCGGGCTCGCACCGACGCGCTGCTTCTCCGGCCATGCTGAGGCCGCGTCCCACATACAGCAACTAGAAGGATGTGCAGCTATGACACACAACTATCTACTGGGGCTTTGGGGGAAAAAATAAATAAAATAAAATCTTTAAATGGAATCATATAATATACAGACTTTTCAGACGAGCTCAATGTACCAAACAACCTCAGTGAAAGGGGTGGCAAAAAAAATGCGCTCATGTGAATAACTTGGGAAACAGGTAAAGTCTGTAAA